AGATGAAAAATAAATATAAAAATATTTTTTTGTTCTTTCTTGGAAGAACGAGTATTCGAAAGTAAGTAATTCAGTATTTTAGGGTACGATACTTGCTACTGTTGAGAATCGTAATTCCAAATTCCATGACGGAATGCTTCTTAAGTTGCGAGTTTTACACTCAAGTTATTGTGTATCGAACAAAGTTTCGATAGTTTTCAATCCCAACTTTTCAAATGTTATTGCTCTGTTGATGAAAGTTAATTCAAGGTGAAACCCAGCCCAAGGGAAAAGATTTATCCCATGATGCTCCGCTACTGTAGGGAACAGTGAAATTAAATTTCTTGAATAACTCTAATCCAGGATTAACCATGAGCCAGAACCAATTTGTGTGAGTGGAAAGACCATTGAAACCACAATACGGTGGACACAGCAAACGACAAACATTCGTCTTTCCTCCTTCGTCATCGTCCAGGGAGCTTCATTAAAATTGTGCAGGAGAATGCTAACCAAAGATCAAAAGTACTAGGGCAAAGGGGAGCGTTTTAATGTATGTAGGAGCAGTGAGCTACATAAATGGTCCCATCAAATCGGCCAGAACAACAAGCAGAGGCACCGGTGTAGATACTGAGGACTTGAGACTTAAACCTGAACGATTGTATGTTTAATAACTCCGGAACGGTTTGGAGTTTTCCCTCTAAAATTTAGAAATAGTAGGATGAGGTATTTTAGGTCGTGTTTGTATCTATAGTCATGTATAATAATTTACTACAATTTAGCCAACAAAATCAGCATCACAAAGAAAAGGTTTTCAAAATGTTCACATTTTAGGGAACCAGTCTCACTATTTACGTTTTCCGTTTATTTTACCAAGAAGGAGGGATGAGAAGAGGGGAGAAAATTCGTTCCCGGGCTGTTAGCTAGACTATGTACTCTTCATGACCAATTATAAAGTCACCACCAGTACAAGAGTTTCCATCACAAAATAGCAGCAGAAGAGGCTGAATAGCAATAACTACTCGAGTTACTACTTCCAGCTACTTTCTCTCCCAACTTTTCCGGACGTATAGGCAGGTGACGTACAAAGCAACCTGATTTCACGCTAGCCAATTTAAGCATTTACAATACATCAAAGTAAGTGAACAACATGTTTCCGAGTAGTAACATTCGCTCAGGCACCAAATTTTTGTGCCTGACTCTCCAACTAGGCAACCAGTAGGCGGCCGAGGAGGAAGACGCTCATCCATTCAGCCTTGCGATGATAGTGACAGACTTAATGATGATCCCGTACCCGGACGACAAACTGGTCTTACCAGATAGGATGATAAGTATAAAAAGTATTAGCCACGACCCTGGCACGTTGCGTTGCTTTGTTGTGTCCTCATTGCAAAGACAGGAGAAAGAGAAGGAACGATACAAAGCAGGGAAATGTGGAAAGCTGAATGTGTCTCAGTCGTGTAAGTAACCTCCAAGTAGTCCCAAAGGCCTTCATGCACATAGAAAATGCTACCTCCGTGGTCTACCCTCATCTAATCACCGACAGGACTAGTCAATGGATAACCACCAACCAACCAACCAACCAACCAACCAGTAGCAGGCAAAGCAATAAATATTTACACTGATCTATGTATCTCGCCATTACTGCGAGGAAGAAGAAGAATGCATGTAAAGGTTCTTCTTCCTTTAAACTTGAAACAACGTCTTGATCTTCTGATGAGTACGACAATGACGAAAAGACGTGCGGGTCCGACTATGTAGAAAAATTATCCGATTTGTATGTAATAAATAGTCGTATGGGTATATGTATACGTGGATCTAGGCAAAGTGTGCCACCAACTTTAATCAGGCCTATCCATATCTTGATAACATAATTTCAGACAAACCACGACTCCCACTCAAGCCACCATTGTCTTGCGGTGATGCGGTTTTGTAAGATTATACGCCAGGCGTCCAAGGGAATTGGAGCTGATTGCACAAACTTATGTAAAATTTGGAGCCAGCATTTCCCCATCAGGCTTTGAGAAATTGTGCGTAAAGGACATACCCTATGAAATAACACATGAAATCAGCCCTCTCCTCCTACGCCAACCACAACTTAGTCCGCTTATCTACTCTCCGGCCTAAACTCCCCTTAAGCAGGAGTAGCAGCTAAATAAATAATAAATGCAACTGTTGGGTCGTCGTTCCTCCAAGAAAACAAATATTGCTGACGTGTGCATATGAAACAACGATTAAAACGCTATAAATCAATTAAGAGAAACTTGAAATTTTACATGAACGACGAGTGTTCGCCTCTCTGACTAATCTCAACAAGGGAAAATGATGATGACGGCTGGAGCATTTCTGTAACGAATGAGTAAATACAAAATGACAGGAAGGGGAACTCTCTGTTGACATTCTGCAGTTTACCATTGTTTCAATTTCAACCCTTACGCCCCACACACCTTGTGAAAATGGTCATGAAAACGGGCGTTTATACAACTAAATGCCAGCCATACTTTCTGGCTCACTTTTCCCTTCCGACTTCTGCAGTTGGAGACAACTTTGAGTAGAAATGTGTGTCAAGCATGAAATCTTTGTCCAACTTGGAAGAAGAAAAAGTGAGCCAAGCAAAAAAGGCAGTTCTCCAGCAGAAAAGGCAGTGTTGGTTATGACAATAAATTTCCGGGTGGGGAGAAATTGGTCCTATATAATGCCATGCTTGGAAGATCTCTCTTCTCCTCTTTTGCCGAGAAAGCAGAGGTTGGTGTGAAGTGGCAAAGTCCGGTATTTATGTGGCAATAATGTGTGTGGTGTTGTGTTGGTGGCAGAGCAGAGCTTGGCGTTGGAAGAATCTCCACAGATTTGCCACCGGTTTAGCATCACATTAAACAAAAGATGTTTCCTCGTTCTCAACTCCTCTCTTTGCTCATATTTGTGATATACGAGCCCACTCTGCGTCCTTTCCTACCCTCCAGATTTCTTGCTTTCAAGACCTGTAGGGGTTTGTGCTTAGGCTCTCACAAACAGTGCATTTAGCTCAGTTTTAATTAATTACCTACCAAAATTATCTGATTCGCCAAATTATGTGCAGTTTGTCGATTCAAAATGGTACGTTTCTTCGAAAGTTTGTATGTTTAATGTAGGAATGCATGTATAAATTTAGAGTGGAATATCCGCGGTCCGCGAGTAGCCTTTCAAACAACCAGGATGGAAAACCTTCGGACCTAATTACATGCCCAGAAGATTGACAGTTGGCTGATGGATCACCAGAAATTGAGCATCCATCAGGTCACAGACGTCAAGTTGTTGGATATGGGAAGACTCAATATTTAGAAACAATTTTCTTCCTGCTCCTCTCTTCCTATCCGGCCGTTCCCAATTCAAATGTAAATATGCACTCTCTTTCCCAAAAATTGTGAATATGCTACGCATATTTTGGACAGATTGATAGACTGCAGAATTTAATGATTTGTTGAAGGAAGGTTTCATACCCGTTTCGTATTTTTGATACGAAATTTCAAAACATTTACCTAAAATTATTGAAAGATTGTCTTTACAACCTTTAAAATTTTTCAAGTGAATATTTATTTACAAAGAAAAGGCACAAGGCTTCTACGCATTTAAATATTTATCAGCATGGGCGAAGGCAACAAGCGATTGAGTAATAATGTACGTACATATTTTCTATATAAAAAATTTGAATTGTGTATGCATGTTTGCCGTCAAAAGATTTATTGTGCTGAGACGATTCGCTGGTATATGCGAAAATATATCACGATGAGGCCTGACACCCACCCGAAGAGCATATATTGACACTTTACTTTGAGAATATGAGTGGAAGCAGCTCATTTATGATTCATCGACTTATGTTTCACTCAAAGTGCTTTCCCTCAGTTCTCCTTCCTGGAGGAGGAGGAGGAGAGCTAGTGATGGCACCTGGTACTCGATTAATGGATCTTTTAGTCCCTGATACACATCAAATAACCTCGTGTTCCATCATAATTTATTGGGCAACCAATTTCACCTTGTATGGAATTTATCTGGCTCCCTCCTCCTTCAAATTTGTTAATAACCAACTACGAATATGCTTCACGGTGACCCAGCAGGTTGTTTGACTTCAAATGCTCTTGACTCTCAATTCCCTCCACTTGAACTTGTATCAAAAAAATCCGAAAAAACTGGTTCAATTTCCGTAAAGAACGCCATTTACCTATTTTCATTCAGAAACATTCTTAGCAATGTTTCTATACAAGCTTTATGTAATAAGAACCAAGTATACGAACATGCGTGGCTCCATCACGTCACAAAAATTAGATTTCCTCGCATTCAAAGACTATCCTAAAACGCAATGGGACAATGTAACGTAATGCAGTATATTTACTAATGCGCCGACTTGGTATTTGTGTTTATTTACAATTTGTAGCAGCCCAATTAATTGGAAGCAGCAGATGCAGAGGAAGCCGTATATACACCATGGCACGCAATATGGCCCAGCAGTTTCATCCAATAAATGACAGGATCCACAATTTACAAGGCAATTACCCACAACACCCAGCAAGCTAGCGAATTGAACCTTCACCCAGCACCACCATACATGCCATCAAGTCGGTCGTCGGTGCAGACGTTTAGCGACAATTATCCGCATGTCTCGCCAGGAAATTAACACCTCTAAATGACTCTAAATCAAACACAGTAACCGCCTAATCATTGTTCTGCTGGATGGGCTCTTATTTTCCCACACATTACTTACTTTCAGCAGCAGCACTGTATTTACTATGCTACGCATAAATAACCCCCCAACTCTCATTTATGCGTGGTTGTCGAGAAAAGTGAGGCGAATAATTGCATCAATTTGAAAACGTATGTCATCCAATTAGAACCAATTACTGGTCCCAAATCTCAAATTATTTTAATATGATGATGGATTACGTAGAATGTTTACTTGGCGAGATTGCTACATAATTCAATATATTTCTAGAGTTATTGAGTACGAAGCTAATAAGCGTATTGACACAGATGATATAAACTTGTGGGCTTACCAGATATGGCGAGAACAGAAATGAACACCTTCAGAGACGTCCAATTCATGGTTCAAACAGGGAAAAATTCGACAAGGTAGTAAAACAAACGCCGCCAAGAGTAAGCAACCAAGTCTGGAAAATAAATCAATCATTTTAATCAATTACTTATGCGTACATATAGATCGACTAATCAGAGTTGTATGTATGTACGTATTGCATATAGGTCGGGTACATGCATGCTAAATTTCATTCCATCCATATGCATGAAATTATTTTGGGTGTGCTTATCTAGTCGTTCGTGTCTTTTACCACCCACCAACAATCATTTGGTATCAATATCCAGCCGTAATAAAAAAAACCTAAAACTTGGAGGTGTTAATTGCAAAACTGGCCCCCTCGACACGCAAGCCGTCTGTGTAATACGAGACGAAAGGTTATTTCCAGTCTGGACTGAGGAACGCCGGTGTGGAATCAGGGTTGACAAGGGTGTGATGGGTGTGAATGGATTTGGTTAGTGCACCGACGGGATCAACAATTGAGCAGTTTCTTTGTCTTTTGATTCACATCTTCTCGCAGACAGATTCCTCGTGGGATTTTGGCATGTCATCTCCGCCAAAGCAAATCTCTCTTTGTGGAACATCTAAACCAAACCAAAGTCAATTTCTCTTCCTCCCATTCCTCCCCGTGTACATATGTAGACACACACGTCTCATCCCATCGGGAGGCTTGTGGGAGATGTTGAAACGTTGAAATGAAACCCCTCCAGCCATCAAATGGAAAGGTTAGGCTAATGTTTCACCATCCTATTCTTCAAGTTGTCTATCATCCAAGAAATTCGGATTTGATCAAGGAAATGGAAAATATTGGGTTGCTTCGTGAGATCTTTCGCTTCAGGATGTTTCCAATCATGCCACATTTGCCAAGTTTTTGTTTCCTTACGTTAAGATACACAAAAAGTTGTAGGCTTGAACTGATATGAAAATTATTACATTTAGCAAGACCATATCGGCATGTATCATATTTTAGTCCAGTAAAATTTTCTACGACGGCGGCCACCGCATTAACAATGAGAAGTGTTTGATGATGTGTTAAACACGGGAGATTCAACCTGGAATTGCATCACTCTTAACCGGGTATGAAATGAAGACGCGTTTATTGTTCCACATCTTCTCAGACTTGTTGAGACAGAATCGCGAAGGAGGGTGCCTCGGGTTTCGGAGAACGTAAAACCAAACCAGCCACCCACCCTCGCGCTACTTGCTGTAATCCAGCTCCGGCTTTGTTTTGGTTTATAAACTGCCACAAAAACAACCCACTCGTTAATATGAGGAGAAAGGGATCAACTTACCGCGGCTGATCTAAGGATGCAACAAAGCACGAGTTTTCATTTTGTCTCCTCCTCAACATTTAGTTCAGGGGGAGAGAAACTCGTTCTTCAAATGGAAGGAAAACTCTCACTGGTCTTAAGAGAAACCCCATCATTCCGTTCCTTGCGTGCCATTGTGTGTGTGAAGAAGTGTAATCAGAGAAACGTGGCTCAGATTAAATGGAATTTGTAAGGAAACACTTGATCCTCTTCTCTCGAATCTTCATCACCACGAAAAATCTGATTTGCGTTCAACTAATTAGAACAATTCTTCCGATATGAACTCTCTCGAGAAGATTGTGTTCTTGGTCAGACGTGAAACTCATAGCCGAATAAATTAATTTAAAAAATATTAGGGATGCAATTGTTATCATTTATTTCCTACAAATAGCGAAATTTTTTGTATGATACGAACCGTGCAAATATTTCGCATGAGGAAAAAAACCTGTCTGTTTGGATAGGTTACAATTTTGAACTTGCTGTCTCACGCACCCAGCACATTTGTAAATATGTATGAATAAATCGTGTACACTGAGCAAGACGTTGAAATATTTTGCTCGAAGCTGTTTCAGGAAATAGAACAGGAGAAAGTTTGCAAAATCAGAAGATGGGATGGAAGGGAAATGATGTGTAGGTAGGTACGAATGTATACGTATGCACGGATGAAACCATCTGATAAAGATAAAATGGCTCCGTTTGATGCCACAATGGTGGAGATCAAGGGAAATTGAAAAGGTGAACTGCGTGTGAAATGAAATAAGGAATCCTCGCAAAGTCTTCCCTTCTCCTTCTTGAGAGAAATATAAACCCAAACCAGTAGGAAAATGATGTTTGCCCAACTTTTTCTTGTTTGGTTTGTTCTGGTTAAAAAATGTGGTTGGTTGGGTGCACTGCAACTTATGTGACTAGCAATAAGGAAGGACAGACTTTCTCAGTAACCCGACCTCACAAAAGCACCAGCTACCTTTACTCCTCTCTCTCTCTCTCTCTTTGTTCTCTTAAATAACTTCCCTTTGAATGGGATGAACTCAAAAAACAAGGAAATCACCAAAGTGCTGACGAAGACTGAAATGCGTCTGTAATTCCCTCCAACAAAACCAACATCTATACATTTTCAACAGCATCATCTCTCTCTCTCTCTCCTCCCTTCCCGAGGAGCTGAGGTGGGTAGTGGTGTGGTGCAAGAGAAAGTCAAAATTGGTTCGTTCAAGTTATTCGTATAGGACAAGTTCTCCATAAGAAAAAGGGTTGTGTTGCTTAGTTGCTTTGCTGGTGGGTGTGCATCAAGTCCCCTCTTCTTCCTTCAAGTAGTCGCCTCCACTTTAAACCCTCACGAACAACTTGGTCTCCACCCAACCAAATAAAATGCAAAGTACAATTTTCCCAAGTATGTAGCAACATTGACACAAAAGTGTTTCCCTTGTTTGGATGGCAGAACGTGCGAGTTGAGCTCATGCGAAGGATTTAAAATACAGTCGAGCTTCCTCCTCCTCCTCCCGACTTGAAATTGTAGTTAGTTTTACACTTGCATTAAAAATTGCAGTGCATCCAATAATATTTTCCCATCCAGGCCCATGCACTTTTCGAGCTTTTGTACTTTTATTTAGTTTACTCAGTGCAAGACCTCGCTGGTGGCAGGACAATTGGTTTGTGCTGGGCGTCCCGTAAAGTGCGAAAGAAGTAATAGCGCACCATTATCTTCGCCTCGAAAAGAATAGAGAAAAGCCAGCAGCATTGCCCCGCATCGCTAACATCCGTTCGTCGGCTTTCCCTAAAGTGACTGAATTGGTCAGAAACTCATTTAGTTCGTCTTCTTTCTTCTCGTACTGACCACGACCATCACGATTCTGGACTCATCTCAAATCTGGTCCAGGTCTCTCCTCCCCAAGATTTCAGTAAACCCCGGAAATTCCATCCAAATACTGCAAACAGAAAAGAGAAAAAAAGCTCGCCCGGAATTCGGACAGTGAAAGTTATGAAGTCAATGCTGATTCGTTGAATGTGGTATTTGACGAAAAAGATTCAATAAGTCGTCCTTTGCTTTGTACACATGACCCAAAGATCAAGATCAAACCGAGATGTGAAAGTGAGCGAGGAGATCGAGAGGACCACCGCACGGCCACCACCACCACCAAACATATTTAGGAGTGATCACTTGCTATCTCAAAACAATCATGTACTCCTTCAATCACGTAGCTTGGGGAAATCCGAGGCAGAAAGGAGAGAGAAAGCATACGAGACGATGAGGCGGAGTGGGGGATGGTGGAATGCGGCGGATTGAGGGCATTCTGCACATGGGGACGCTTGATACCATCAAATTCCGAATGATATTACCTTCCTCCCATCACACCACCACCACCATCAAGTCGTCTTTGCTGCCTTTTTTTGTTTCTCGGGGAAGGAAGGCGAAAAAGTGACCCTCTCTGGTATCGTATTGTCCTATTTTATTTATTTTCGTTTTAGCCCATTCCATCCACAAACCTGGGTTTTGCTAGTTAACTTGGGACAGGAGTGTGGAATGGAAAAGATATAAAGACTGCTCCCACCCTGTGCAGGCAGGGTCTTATCTATCTCATTTGCTTGTGGTGGAGGTGGAGGTGGTGCAACCTTGTCTTCACGATTTGAATACAACTTGAATGAGAGAGTGAGAGTAAGCAAGTCGAAATACTTTGCGGATTTCAGGAGCTGAAGATAAATAAAAAATCAGGAACAAACTCAATCTGAGTCAGCACAACACGTTGCTTTCTCTTCTCTTATGCAATAAAACCCTTCAGGGCACCCACCGTCAAGTCGCTGTTACTCCTCTGCCACGGCTGTCGTGTTCCAATTCGAGCCTAATCTGCAACTAAACCCGCAAACAAGTCAAGTCAAACAAGCCCAGACGAGGCAACGTTTAGTCAGTCACTCATTTCCCTGAGAACGATATCCCTTATTTAATCAACACACCACCCAACACAAATGTCACAACAATTTTGAATTTAAATGAGACCAAGACAATAATATCGTTGTAAGAGTTTTAAATTTCTCTGTGCAATCACCAGGTTTTTTCTGCACGGGAGGATGGATATGAGATAAAATTGTTTAAAATGAGACCTTGAAGAAATTTTTTCCACTTTTTTTTGTCTGGAACTGTAACCCATCCGTTGTTGGTTAGCGAAAACAATCAGGTCGGTAAATTAGTGGGGAGAAGAAGGGTAGAAATTCCTGTTACAGATTTCTCTTGTACGTCTGAAATAATGGGAGGAGGAGGAAAATGAGAACATGTATCGTCTGTGTCCCGTCTGCTGGATTTGGCTCCTCAGTGTTCAGGATTGCCCCCAAGCATTAATTTATTTTTGTTTCCAAACACACTCCACGACTACTCGACACAACCAGCACTGCACCGTTGTGAACCCTTCCTTTCTCGGCTTTAAACCACCAACGTTTCAACAAGGAGATTTGTTCGCTTTGTTGTACATACAACTAACTTGTTGACTTTTCTCTTTAATCCGACAAACACACGGTCCACCCACTGTAGCACTAATAATAATCAACAAATACACAGATTTTCTCCTTCCTTCCTTCCTCCTGTGTCAATTTAGCCTAAATTATTTTCAGTTTTCAGTCTATTATTAGTTGCTACGGGGGTTTGAAGGTCTACACAAAGAAGAAGTTGGTGGATTGGAGCGATCACTGCTTAGCGAGCGATTCGAGTTTCAAAACTGACAAGGACTTGGAGTCGGCAGCCGTCCGTGGGTAGGTTTCTTCTGGAAATCTGAGTCTTTTGATACACACTCGAGAACGGCAGGAAGGGGGAAAGCTGCTCCAATCCGGCAGAAGATGATGATGGGGAAGGTGCTGATCATGATCTACGTTTGCATGTGTATTGGTTTTAGCTCAGTCAGTCAGACGCTGCTCATAATACCCCCAGAAACACACACCTCGGCCAAGAATGTCGGATGGACGCTCGACTTCTTTAAGAAAGAGGGAACCTGAGAACACAAGTTTGGACAATGTTAATTACTTACTACATGATGATAACATATTGACTCTAGTGATGAGATGCTAGCACAATCTTTAACTGAAAATGGTAAATGCTATCACATCAGTGGAATTATCTACAATTGAAAGTGTCGAAAACATTGCGAATAATGGAATTCACGCGACCCTAGAAAATTATTCTCGTGTAAAAAGGGATGAAACCGGATGGGTGGGATGAGACATAAGTGGGTGCTGATGATGATCAATTAGTATCGAATGGAATAAGTGGGTGGGTGGAGAGGCAAGAAAATATTTCCGCAGACATTGTTCCAAAGAGGAAGAGAGGGGTATGGTTACCTAATAATACGAGTTGCTGCTGCTTGGATGGCTGATAATCAAATATTTGCCGTAGGAAGCTAAGCGTATGTTGATGGGTTGAGAATGGTTCGAGAACTGATGCGGGCTTCCTCCTTCATCTCCTTCAAATACCCTCACTCACTTCTCACAAGCAGGACCACCACCGACCGACCGACAAATCCGTGTATCCACTCAAATCTACTCCCCATGTCAGACACCAGCACTCTCGCTTTCACCCAGGAACAAAGACTGCGAGACGACGACGACGACGATATTTATCCACTACTCACTCCAACCACGGCAGGACTACTGTGGGGCATCAGGCCTTCCGAACCTGCATATATGGGCACAAAGCATTTCGCAACCACGGCCACGTTCAACTAACCCAAGCCTTTGTAATGTTGCAAAATGGGGACAATTTTAACCTTCACCTGATTACACGGTTCCTCCTACAGTCGCGTTGCAAAGAATATTTTAGTGTTTATTGTAGGGGTTGAAGTTGAGGAGGTTTTCAAATCCTACACACCCAATTTTATTTCTAACATGATTCCTCCTCAGGCCTCAAAATTCCCTCGTACACCCGCTAAAGAAATACGCAATAATTAAACTAAATGTATCAAAAGGTTTCCAATAACAATCACAATTTTTGATTCCAGTTACACAAAATTCACAATTGTACACTTGTCCAAGGAGTAAACTGGAGTTTTGCGCACATCACACTGAAAAGTCGTACGTACAAGATTGCAGTCCAACTGACCAATTCAATTACTCGAGACACACAAAGGTCAGAAAAGTTCAATCACTTCGATAATCTTAAGACTACAAGACTCGTTCCTCCAAGGTTACTGAGAAGTCGAACCAACTACAACATTGACCTTCGCATAAAACGAAACATTGCTTTCATCCTTGAAATTGAGATGTATGTAATGATAAAACACAAATTAAAACGATTCCTACGTCAACAAACATACTCGGTGACGATGATAATTATTAAGGTTTTCGTTGAGTTGAGGATGCATTTCCCCAACTTTCACTTTCCGTCACGGGTTGGTTACGTCGTGAAAGAGTTGTTTGAAACATGCAGCATCTGAATTAAAACTGTGTCGTGAAATGTAACAGATTTTGTAATCTGATTGGTTATACATACTCTCGAATGAGGATTGAGGGGCAACATTGAGATATTTCAGAAATATAGAGGATGACCTGCATGCAAGCATGTAGACAAATATTGTGAGGCCCGAGCTAGGAATGGCAACCAACAGCCAAAGAGTTGGTCTAATTGCTTTTAAATGTTTTACTCAATAATTCATGGAAAGAGACCCAAAACTCCATGTTTCCACTCGTAATTACTCACCAGCAGGCATGCCAACTTTCCCTCACATTTACGTACAGAAAACGATGATTTACTTTGAGACTAAAATATCTCGTCACATAATGTCTAAATTTAATTTTGATTTTGAAAATAAAGGTAGAAATATTATGTACACAACTTGAACTTCAAAGATATGTGTGCATACACTCGAATGATGCAGTAAACGATTGAGCAGAACACTGTCAATAATTATGCATACATGCAAATTCTTCTCCTACGTATTTCTCAAACGCAAACATTAATCAACTATTAGTACCGTCTGGTTTTGCCTTTTGTGCGTAATTTCTCTACAACTCTTACGTATTAATACTTGGAAGAAAACAATGAGGACGTCTTGCAGATGAAGGGACGAGAATAGAAATTGTGTGTAGTTACTAAAAGTAGAATTCCCTCCGAGCGAGTGTAGGGTCGTTCGTGGCGTGGTAAGTTTTCCAGGCATAAAATTCTCGTAAATCGTGAAGTTGGGTGACGTTTAACATAACAAATGGTGAAGCTGTGACTCTTCACTTATTTTTATGACTCTTTGAACACGATGATGACCGAATGGTTTGCACAGTGCGGACATAAATGCGTGGTTCCTTCTGGCATCTCGGGATTTCTCCTCATGTCACAACTCACTCGTGGACATTATTTAGCTCATTAAGGGAAGTAACTTTTTCACTTGATGAGTGACAGTGCCAATACTGCATTTCACTTGTTTGTTTGCTACTGGGATCAAGACAGGGAGAGGTCAACTGAGATATCAAAGTCTGGAGATAGAGATATGTACTTATCACAGTTCACGATCACTTACTGCATGCATCGCTTGATAACACTAAATGTGCACGTGTTGAAAAAGTGAAGGACAGAACCATAAGTGGATTGGGTTGTTAGTTTGATTGTTGCCAAGATTTGTTGAAAGAAAAAAAATATCATGTTGAAAATCGTCAGATTCTTGAGTGCAGATGCACTTTCTAATTTGATTGTTTCAGAAAATACTATGCGAAATTTCACTCCAATTTTCTGACACGACCCAAACCGCTGACAGATATTGGCATACAAATTAATGAGGCGATCCCGGTTTGATGGATACAAATATGAATACACGAGTCAAGTACTTTCTAATAACCCGTCTCGTTTGTACTTGTTGGTTGGTAATTGGGCACGACGAGGGTAGAGCAGGGAGCCTGAGAGAGTACGAGCAGCATATCGTGAGAATGGTACCTGAGGCGGACTTGAACAAAAGTCAAAGCATGCCAAAGCCAGAAATCAAAAGTAGACGGACGTCAGAAGGAGTAGAAAGTTGAAACGATATTCTCTGGACCACCACCACCACCACCACCGCTTCCACTTACCTTTGTTAGCCCGTCAACCAACCTGCCTCTCGCCCTGCTGTCTATATGTCCTAGGCGAATTAAAGTGGGAGTCAGGTCAAAGTTGAAAAGTTGGTCAATACTGAACTGGGTAAATAAATGTTTGGAGAAATTTGTTTTTATGAAGCAAGACGAGGAAGTGGATGAAAGGACTTTGTTCGTTAGGACCTCCAGCTCCAGCTCCGTGTTGTTGGTCCAATGCTCCTTTATTCGCTGACAGGGAGCGAAAAGCCGTTTAAAGTTTCTAAAGATGACTAAAAATGGGGAAAATCTGACGGAGAATGCGTTCCATGTTGAAACGTAAACTGGTGTCTTGGGGGCAGTCTCATCCGAAAGCTCTCATTCTCACAATGTATACCAACCATGTCGTAATACTTACTACCAACCAGCAGCAGCAGTGGTGGCAGTGTCACAGCCCTTACACCACTTCCTGTGTCCCTTGTTTTCCATGCCAGGCACCCTCCACCATGAGACAATGCCCGGCTCTCCGGCTGCCTTCGCTCATTTCGTCACCACGCCATTAATCCTTCAACTTGTTGGGGGAATTATCAGTCTTGGCGTTTGGCATTGACACCCACGAGAAAATGCATTTCTTCAAAACTCATATTTTACAAGGCTTGACTCCCCCCACCCAAGAAAGAAAATTGTGATGTGGCCACCGTTCATAAATGAACACACGCGCATCCTCCCCGTTTGGTAGCGGACAAAGCAAGTTGTGCTGCTTTTTTCAAGTATGCAGTAGAGAGTGAAAAGTGGGAAATTTCTACTCAGGCTTTTGTCACGATTTCCGCATTACAACTCTTTTCTCTCGTGCTCAGTGGGCGACATATGGACAAATCTGTTGACATGTTGGTCTCCTCTCGTTGATGCTTGCACCCAAAATCTGACTTCAGATGAAGGTTCTGATTTACTTTGAAATACATTCATCTCCTCCTTGGCTTCACACTCAGGATAAATAACGGCTGGTTCTAATTGAGCGTGAATTTTGCTTGTTTTTCACCCCGAATGCGGTTTGCCTTGTTTATATATTTACAAAAATTTAATACGTATATTGTGTGGCAAGTGGATAAATACAAGTATTCACGAGAAATAAATATGAGACGTAGTGACACATGTGACTTATCTCTTGAGGAATAACGTTTTAATAATCGTCTTGTTGTCGAATTCTTGATTTCATTCTTATCTAGATATAAACATTCATTTGCAGAATTGGCTACTCGGAATTTTGACATGAAGCGATCATCAATTTTAATTACAGATATTGTTTTCTCAAAAATGATTGCCCCCGTCTATCAACAACAACGATTATTAAAACTGTAAAAACACGTACTCAGATTGTCCTTGGACTTGAATTTATCCATTTTAACATGCCAAAGAATTGTATTTACTTAGAAGTAGATATTCTTTGAAGCCATTGAAGCACATGCACGCCTGACACCGCTTTCCATGTATGCATGTGACATTAATTGTATCTCCTGGAATTTTCCTCTCCACCTGTCAAGGATTCTAAATAATTGCTACCATTAAGTTATTAAAGTCGACCAGTTTGGGAAACAAGTTGGCGTATGGGCCACCACCCGTTCCACGAGTCGTCCAATGTGCAATGCGCACATACATGCATGGACATCACACAATTGGTAATCCTATCGTACGATGCAATGACTGGCCTCTCGGTTTAAAATCCTTCAAACACTGGAGTGACAAGAGCAGTTCATCACAGTAATAAATTATGACATTAAAGAATCGATATAATTGAATGGAGAAAGTTGGCTGGGACAACTTTCTCTTTTTGGCAAATACGTTAGTTTTGTGCCAAATTCTCTAAATGCATGTATGCAAAAAGGACTATGTATATTGTAATCGAGGCGCTGTTTGTTTAAATTTTCCTACTATTCGAATTTGTGTATTTTTAGGTTTTTCCATAGAATTGGATTAGAAGGCTAAAATTGGGTTATTACTATTGATGTTAATACCAAACTAAAATTTAAATGTAACCATTTTGGGTTTTGGATCGAGTATTTGTAGATTCTTTACTTTGTATCTACGACGAAGGGGTCATTGCAAAGTGAAACATTTGACAAGGTCAATTTCTTAATAAAAATACAAAAACCTTGCAGAATCGTCCTGCTGCATCTTTCATGGTGAGAAGAATACTTCACGTTTCAGAGAAGACATGTAGAGCTAAACTCTGTCTAGAACAAATATTCAATGAAATAAGAACACTGTATGTGGACACTTGCTAAACGACCTCCTGAGGACTGAACTCTCCCCGATGTGGATCCCTATATGCACACATCCGTACAACAGCAACGGTCCAGATATTGCTTTCTCTCCCCATTTTGCACCACGTTACACAATTTTCTCATTAGAAAAAAACTCCTTTGAAACAAATGTGCAGCAGCAAATATTTTTGCTGCTTCTATATATTTCACTGCAAGGAGAAGCTCACACGTTTAAAAGGAAGTGCAGAAATACGTTACTTTCTCCAAGCCTCATGGACACATAGTTGTGACATTGAGTCAGAGGACGATGGAAAGTAACGTTTTAGGTGACAAAAAAATGACATCCCGACAAACAATTTTGAAAACTTGGCCCAAACGACGGTTTGTCCACTGATCCAAGCTGGATAAAATCATCATCTATCCAGCTACAGACCATACACAAGTTTTCTGCCGCGGACAAACGCTAAAATTGGTC